CAAAATCAAGGCCTGATACGATAATGAGCAGGTTGGTCACTTCAGAATGTCTATTTTACGTCACTGGTAACAGTGAGAAGTGTCCGCGGAATTACAGAAGCCGTAACAGTCGTCCTGAATGCAGACGTAAAGGTCAACCGAACATTACCAATTGCAAGTAAAGAATGCCTTTCCTATTCGCCTTACTCTAAGAGGAATGTTCACCCATCTATTTCAGTGCAGCACAAAAGAGCACTAGACTCATGTTTCGCTTTCTTTGAAGCCGTGCATACCTCTTTCTGCGTCAAGATATAAACTTCGTACCCAGCACGTGCTGGAAACGCATGATACGAACAGCTTCCAGGGTACCGATGACGCACCTGATTTAGCAATCGTGAACAAACATGCGTATTCACAGTTAGACGGTGTAAATTGTATGTTCAACCTTATGGTGAAGTAACACGCGAACTGAGGGTTATGGGCCATTTTCAAAGTGGAATGTGGTCTTTTGTCAATGGCAGCACAGTGAGCGAGCCAGCCGCTCCACCAGTCCCCACATGCTTCCGGCTACGCACCTCTGGTGCTCCAGAGTCTGCTGCGGCTGGATGTGCAGGGGTTGGTATCGTACTTCGTCTCCCGGCAGAATTATGCTTACTTGACTGGATACCTGTTGATGATCGCCTCTGTGAGATTCGTCTGGCAACGTCTGTGAAGGAGTCCCAAGAGCAGGAAGTTGACAGATGTCAGTTTATCGTGTCTGCATACGCCTCAACTGCCTGTAGCTTTGACGTCGTCAAAGACGCTTTGAATGTTCTGTTTGGGTGAACTAAAAGCTCACACGTCGTGATTGTTGCCGGAGATTCTAATGCATAGTTGGACAGCCTTAACTTATCCGAAATCGTCTTCTAGAGTCTTCCTAATGTTCCACTACAGCATACTGGGACGAGATTGCCACCTCTTTGCATAATGCTAGGAATTTTACTTGTGGCACGGGACCACCAGTAGCACTGAAGCACTGGGTTTCAGACCGATCGGTGGCACTTCTCAAGTCTCAGAGAAATATCTCTGACGGTCCCAAGCATAACCTGGTACGAAGAATAATAAGACTTCAAGTGCAAGTAAGCGTGTGGGACGACCGTGAAGTGTGGTGGGCGCAGGGAGTCAACGAAATGAGAGTGGCCCAAAAAGCTAGTAATGCCCGAAGATTATTTCATTTGATCTGTGGTCCCCGAAAACCACCGGTGAGCGAAACTAAGCATCAGAATGGAACGACCATCTCGAATAAAGAACGTCTTCACCAGTGGGCTACATCGAATAACAACTGTCGTGATCACCATTTGGCACTCATCTAGAACCCACAGATGAAATAGAACTCCGAACGATGAACATGAAAGCACCTACTACTTCAGGGGTTTACGGCTACATATGTTCTCTCAAGGGCCACCGAGCTCCTGGTCCGGATGACATCCTACCAAGATTGATAAAAATTGCGGGCTAAGTACTCGGTCAGCGTTTGTCCGATCTGTTTGCTTGCCTTTGAGAAAGGGATTCTGTCCCAGACAACCAGAAGGAATCGGTGATGGTCATGAGAACAAAGAAGATAGCGAACAAAGCTTGTTTTCTGTGATTGTTCATCTTGGTTAATGCATCACAAATTTATATGGTGGCAGAAATCACGTGGAAAAGGTTAAGATCGGGGGTACATACACTTTAGAGAAATAGAAATCAAAGGAAAGGGGGGGTGAGTCGCCTCTGCGAGCGATAGTATTTTGGGTCGTACCAGTCGTGATCGGTTCAGAGGTACCCGGTATATGATGGTGAGGACTTGCTCCTTGTCTATGACATGACAGGTTTCGGCCAAATGTGATGCAATCGCAATCATATACCGAGTACCTCTGAACCGATCACGACTGGTACGACCCAAACTATTATCGATCGCAGAGGCGATTTGAATCCGACTGCTGGATTCGCAACTTTGCATCCTAAAGAAACTTTTGCGACCTCTGAACTTGAACTGGCCTACGAAACATCCGGTCGTTGATGATGATGATAACGATATCCCCATAAGATTGTCAGAGAATTCTTGCCATGTGAAAAAATGCACCAGCAAACTAGCACTGAGCCAGCATCACAAACAAGACACCTCAAAACCCCATTTCGGCCACGTTAATAAAACAGTTCGTTCTTGGTGAAGCACAACCAAAACTCTTTCAGAGCGCCTGACCTATCCTTATCCTCCACATCTGTAGCTCCTGCATCGATGATTTTGTGCGTCACGCACTCTTTTATCTTGCAAAGAACTGTGAGTCAAATTAAAACGTAAATTTGTAGGACGCATAATTCACCATAAACGGTTATCCAAGTTTTCTACTTCTTCGTTGACCTCAGACTGTCACTACTTCGTCGAAATTCCTGGCAACTTGAAAAAGCGCATTTCAGACGCCTTGTGGACTGGTATGTTATAGTTTTCCAGCTCCAGCAGTGCTGGCCCACTCCAGGCTCCGCCCAGTGAAATAGACCGTCAGCTTGTGAAAGCACGTCAATCTCATACAATGACGGTAGTGTTTTACGGAGGAAAATGTTGGTAGATTAGGTACGGTAGGTGGTCATCGGCTTGTTCGCTGAGCTGGATAATTCTATGGCAAACGATTCATCATCAATCGGGGTGACATAATCAATGCATTAATGAGTGTAGTGGTGCGGTGGGTTAGTGGTTGTGTGTTGATTAGCGTGCAACTCCACGGCAGCTTTGATCAACCGATGCATCGAACTGGACCCAATTCACGCACCTTTACGTGCAAAAGACCAACATCTCAACCAACCGAGGACTGAATATTTGATTCACAAACAAAGAAACAAGGAACTCCTTGGAGTCGAATCAACAAAGGTCACAAGCCCGAACTTAGAAGGACAAAGGTCACTCCAACATCGACCAGATTACGACGGCAGGGGATGCCAGGCTCAAAGGTCACGTGGACATCGGCAAATGAGGACACGGGATAAGAGAGCAAGCAATGGAACCACCCAACCTGACAACTAATCACGATCAAAAGTCACACTCAGCTAGCAACACATATATTAGCATGAAACGTTTGCAACCTAACTTGCCCAGCTCAGCCAACAAGCCAACAACCAGAGTGTTCCCCATACGAAAGCCGACATAATTGGGTCTCTATAATGGAATCCGATATTGTGGGCATCGAGTGACGAAACGCTGTGTGCAGCTGTATAATCTTTATGACAAGGAAGCCTAACGTTGAGGTATCAAGTTCTAGTCAAATGCGGGACCAATTTAAGAGGCTTAGTAGTGTTACCGGTGGTGTCGGCTCTTCATCCGTTAGATAGACTTGGGCGAACCAGTTGCAAATTTCTGATTTATAAATGTGACAGGTAGGAAATGATTCCCCGGCAGCTCACTAGGTAGAGCATCGGTCCGACAAGAGTTCGGGAGCCTGAGTCCTTCCCTGGACATGTTTTCTCTGCGGTATCCAAACAGAATCGATAGGAATCTTGAGAGCATGGGAGACACCCAAAATATTACAGAAGGGGAATACTGGAGAATGAGTCCAAAAATAGAGTATTCCGCGTTTCTACGTACTTACAGATGAGAATAAGATGACTGCGGATCACTAGAGCCCCCTTAGGTGTATCAACGTCCAATGAGCTCACAAGAACATGTAAAGACCTCTTCAGTAGTCCCTAGTACTCACCCAACAGCGTCCAACACAATTTAATTAAGCCCAGAGACATGGAAAGTGAACAAGAGGAAATAAAGATCTCATCTTATGTGAGCTGTCAATGTGTGAATATCATTTCCACCACGACAGCGGTCACAGTGCTATCTGGTGACCGTAGAGTTCTGAATGGATCGCAGTAAAAGTAAAACATCCGCGAGATGCTCACCCTCTGCTTGAGTACACATCGAATTGAACAATGAATAATAGGAAGAATCGAAAGCAACGCCAAAGGAGCTTTTATTTTTACAGCTCTTCGCCGAAGCCGTACTGCCAAAGCTTTAGTCAAGTCAGTTACCAGAAGTTAGTCAAAATTATTGACTTATTATTTGAGTGACACTTCCATTGTCATCGTACAGAGTGAATTAGAACAAACGAGCACTTTCAATGGCATCAATCCCGTGTGGGAGAAAAACGATGGCGAACGACCTTCGTCGCTAGACTACCAAATATGCAGACACAAAGAATATGTAAGAAGGTCATCGCCCACAAAACAAATACAGAGTTAATACAGAAACCATCAGACTGTTTTAAATTTCCCTGGGACGACTGAGCTCAACCAGATCAGCAATTTGGTGATTAGATAAACGCATCGCGCTTATATTTCCGAAACCATTGCGAGAAAACTAGGGCAATATAATGTAAGTATATATGGCTTTGGACTAAAGAGCACACTGTGGCAAACATCATGGAGATCAAAAAGATAACCAGAAGTTGCAAGTACAATCAATGTCATCTGCATAAGTCAGCAAAAGAATGGTGGTAAGTACCCTGTGGGATTAACGGGCAAGAATCTACCAAGATGGGCCAAGGAACCTACACACGCTATTAAAATACAAAGTTAATTTTCTGTCTTCTTCCTACACAGAAACTGTAAGACACACCAGTTGAACTAAAGCAATGCCAACTTACTAGTTCAAGAAAGAATGAGCGTTAAGTGCCAGTTTTTGGAGGCCGGTCACATCAACGACAAGCACTCCAAACAAACACAAGACCGCTCTTAAACACTGAACCGTACAAAGAAGCGAAGGAAGCAGCAGACTCAGAATCAGACAATAAGCTAACCGGACCAGATTAATAGATTCTAGCATCTCCAAAGAAGAATCGAACAGGCTGAAGACCAGGATCAGTCGAGAAAGCACTTGTGCGATTCTATCATTTAGGCGCAAGAAAACGGGCCGTAAATTGAAAATGGGTCAATAAGAACGAAGGATAAAATTTACCAAAAATAAGAGACGTACAAACGACCAATTAAGTAACAGGAATGTTGAACACAGCGCAAAACAGATCGCAATTTGGCCAAGCGATACTAGCAAAGAAGGGACAAAAAAAGTAATGCCCAACGGACAAATCGACTGCAAGGATGATAGACCAAATGCTACACCATTTAGCCTACTTGTAATCTTGCACTAAACAACCACTCACGTTGGAGATTTAAGATACTTCTTGAAAGCTATGCAAACTTAGATGAGAAGCGATAAACTACCCACCCAGTAGCACACTGAAAAGTCTCCTCAAATGCTGACAAGACGTATGCAAGCACATTACCATACTTCGCAAGTCAGTCAGCCCGATCTATCAAGATTCCAACAAATTATCACATTACGTATACATCTGATATGAGAATGCTATCGTAACGAAGCACCTGTCCGAATTTCATCCGTGTAAACCGCACATTGTAAGCAACTTTGTTGAAATGTACCAATGCACATCTACAGTGAAATTCCACACAACGCACCCAAGCGGAAAAACGCAACCAACAATGAAGCGGTGCCGGAAAATTTAAAAATCTGGTTTAAGCTCACTGGGGTTTCAACAAATGAAATGTGGATTCAAGGAAAGTTCGAAGGATAACATTTGACGGACAACAAAATTGGTTAGGCGGTTTTATGAGCATTTGTCAATGAAAAGAAAAGCTGTTTAGATATGCTATGATATACGATAAATACATTCGTTTGCAAATTAATTTGGTTTTCGCGTGAGAGTCAAGTGAGCCTCTGGTTTATGATGTTCTGCAACTGATTGTGCTGCACACAGGCCGCCTCATGATTCAGTTGGCACGATATTAGTTGCATCACAGTATATTTTCGTAGAGAAAACTATTCACAAGGTTGGTGAGAACTCGTCGACAGCCCATGACCGGTTTTGCTCTTTTTGGAGCTCATCAGGTAGGCGCATTCCCGGAGTTTCCGTCAACCTTATTTTCTACTTGAACCCAACTTGGACTATTTTCGGCAAATATCATAAACGAGAGATTCGGTTGAGTCTCCCATGAAAACCAAATTGATTTTTAAATGAGTGTATTTCTCGGTGAAGCGAGTTTGCCTCACCTATTTGGAAACAATTATATCAGCAAGGACGTTTTTGGGATCTTGCTAGCCGATCAATACTTTGCGGCTGAAATGGGAATAAATAACGAAATAAACCTGTAATACTGGTTATTAGATTATAAACTCCAAAACGTAAACATGTGCTGGTTAGCGGTATCTAAATCTAATCCAAATGAACGCGTACGATTGCCTAATGGTCGTCGATTGGCTAGGCCCATCGATGCGTATCACATGACTCACGTATTCGCTTAACAAATTGTGTTGTGCGTTCAGCATATTCTTCTGAACAAAAAATGAACAACAATTTTACTGTGCTTCCTTGTAAACGAGATCAACAGCATATGCGCAATGATTCAACTATCGGATACGGCTGGAATAATAATTTCACGAATTCGGGGCGGTAGTGTGCCTGACAAATATTAGATCCAAGTGACACCACTCTCCAGGTAAATGAGGAACCCGAAAACGCATTTCTGAGCTTGCCTTGGGAAGCAAAATTATTTTAAGCCTTTTTGTCTTTCCGGAAGTAAACGGCGGTGTCAGTCTTATGAATATAGAGGAGAAATCGGGCTAGAAATCTCTCCGTCAGATTTTCAGTGAACACAATTGTTTATCACCAATGAACTCGACCTGAAATTTCAGAGGATGCACCCCTCCCCACTCAAGTAGCTGGTGTTAGGTATTCCAGAGCTGCTTAACGCACTGGTTTGGTAGTGAGGACACTTTGAGAGTTGCATCCGGGAGGAATACCGGACGTACGCTAAACTACCGAAAAACACCAAACAAGTCTTTCCTTCTTGTCATCACCGTACACCTCTCTGATGAATCTGTCTAGATAAAAATGGAAATGCTACATACTATTCTTTGCGTGGTTGTTTCAAAGCATGTTGTCTTACCGTCTTACTGAGCTTCAGCCCACGTTTCAGCAAAGTGGCTCTTGTTCTGCCAGCATATAATGACTTGATTCGTAATCGTGTAAAATGACCGAATATACAGGCGTGAAGGAAATTAAAGAGATATGTAATAAATATATATGAGTTCACTTCTGAGCACACTACCGGGGATTTACTTGATTAAATCATGCGGTATCAACTTTTTGAAAATTCGTCTCTATCCTGTTTTCAAAACAATGGCGAACTCTGACATAGTATTATGGGTTTTGCTTATCAACGTTTCCAGGATATTTTCAGTAGGAATGAAGTCACGAGCTGGCTATTCCATACGATACTGAACCCAAAACAGTCAAATAACCGACTTAATGATGGGTTCGCATTACTGCGATTTTCCATTGAAATTTTGTTCAATCTTCTTGATCCTGGCAGCAAATGCCAATAAGAATCGCTTTATGCTTTCCACATGCACCTATTTCTTGGTCTGTTATGGTTGGCATCCTTAGCCAACTCTTCCGAACGAAAGTGAATCTTTCTACCACCACCGTAATAGTTCACTGGCGTCTGTTTCGATCACTTGTGGGGTTGCTAGTGAACAGAATAATAAGTCAGGGATGAACACCATTCAGCCTGACATCCAGACAATATCAATTGAGATATAAACTTGTAAGTGAAGCCAGACCATGCTGGAAAGTCCAGAAGCACAATGCAGCTGTTATAATAAATCATCATTAGTGCGCATTTCGATAGACTCGCGGGAAATAACTTACTCCAGCTTAGTAAAAAAGTAAATGTTGATTACACACCAGAAGTAATTAGGTTAAAATGGCATAAAGAACAGTGCATAATTGATCGAAGCAACCAGCAGACATATTAGTTGAATCCACGCCTGATGCTTGCCTAACTATTCGGGATCAAAGGGTTTGACTTATCTAAACCAAAAGACCGTATGAGATGTCAGATCTTCAGTAGCGGGGCTGATATTCTTAAAAAAGAACTACGGGGTTCCCAAAAATCAGACCAATAGTTGCTAACTGTATGTTTTCTCCACTATGCTCAGGAAATCCACCTGATAGGCTGTAATGTGATGGCTGTCTTGTATTTCTCGGTTGGCTAGCAGATTATCTGTTTTCGATCCTTGGAAAGGCCACAATGGAATTCCGTTTTGGGTATATCTAGTGTTGGAGAGGCCCAGAAATACTAGCTGCTCAGGTGCGTTGACTGGTCGTTGCTCACATGGCGGTCGATCATTTCGATTAACTCCATAATTAAACGTTTGGTCATCAGATGAGGTGACATCATTATTGCACAGCTGTTCGGGAGTGCACGATCCTATGCTAAGGCCGTGATCTCAAAGCATGGAATTGATTAATTAGCCTAACCGCATGATCTAGGTGTCCTATCTGACAGATAACGTGTATTCTTATTCACCAACGGACGGTCAGTAATAACTGCGGTGAAAGCGAATTCTACGAACTTCACCTGCGTTTCTTCAGTAGTCGCAATTGGGCAGTAAACAATATATTGAATCGGACGTGGGCAGACAATATAGATAGGTAGACCGTGGTTCTATAGGAAAGCAACAGTAAATTGTGAGGAGAATTAAAGAAAGGCTTGCGGCTAGATTGAACCTTGAGCAGTTAGCAACATAGGATGGCACACGAAGGGCAGAGTGATATCGGACAAATTAAACGGGAAAAATGTTGTTCAGTTCAAAGTAGGATAAATTTTCAACAACAAGCCCAGAAATAAATGTAAACAAATCCTTTGTAGAAAAACGGTTCGGGTAGAGTCAACTTTGTAAAAAATAGGACGGTTCAGTCTTGAAACCTGTGCAGTCACCGGAAGGGTGATGAATTAGCCTAAGAAATAGGGAAGCAAATAATTACGTCACGTAATTAACAGGGAGTTTACACGTTACCTTTGTGTGTTTTTATGGTATTTGAAGGGCATCTTCGACCTCTTGGCATGATTGGTTAATTGGAAGACAAGGTTTTGTTGATTTAAGTGTTTTCAACATGTGGTGCGTTGCGGTCCCCCTGCCTTTGATTTCAGTGGTTATACAAAAGCCTATCATTAGAAATTTTCGTTCCTAGATTTGACCGGCCTCTTGTTGCGTTGCACTTTAATCTTCTCAAGAATGTTAGGCTGGTTGCACGATGCTATTTTCTCCATTCTTATAGCTGGTGTCATCGCCTCCACCGGTTCATCTGGTCCTTTATTTAATCGACTGAACGTCTAATCCAGTCATATTGATCTGTGCGTCCATATTAGGTGTGTTGTGCAGTTTAGGGGTCTGTAGTTCTGACCTGTTTTTCTTAGCGGTTTACAAATTGAGTCGGTTTTGATGAATTCATTACCGACTTCTTCCAAAAATTCTTATACCTTCTGTGTTCTTGACTATGCCTACGTAAAAACGATCTCCCGTTCGAAATCATACCCTATCAGACCTCTGTGCCCGGAGATGAGAGAAAAGTGGCTAAGCCTTTTGGCAGCTAGCTTGTGTTCAGTTATTCTGATGGACAGCTTCCTTCGCCTTTTCCTCTATATCGTTTGTTGCATTGGATCCTGTATATGATATTGTTCTTCATCATTGTACCTAACTTTCCTTTCGGTTATTTTATTGTTTTTCTCTATGGAAATTTGTTTTGTTTGCTTCCACTATGAGCTGTTGCATCAGTTATGTTTAGCATCGTTAGGGCTCTCCAAAAGAAACTATTCGATACAACTGTTCTGGAAAGCCTTGTTTAGGAAGTAAGAAATTGGGAACCGGTCACTCAAAACAAAGAACAAAAATCTAACGAGAAGAAAAATACTGAGAACAAAAGGTATCAGATTAACCAGTCAGATCACCGTAAGGTAGACCACAACACAATGAAGTTCAAGAGAACGCTCTCTCCTAATTGGCCAAACACGTTCATAGACCTCAAATGCTCTTTCAATGCTATATTAATCCAGTGCGTTAAAGAGGAAGCATCCAAACAACTGCGAGCTGACGAGAATTCACCATTTGGCGACTAAAGTGTTTCAGGTTGCCCGGCAGATCAACGTCTTCCTGGGTAACAATCAATAAACATAGTATTAGTCAGCATGCCCTTGTATCCCCTACCTACTGATTAACCGATACCTGCAAAATAATATGTTTCCAGGGATTTGGCCGTTCGTTCTGTTTTCCTCAAACTTTAGCATTTCATTTTTCTAGACTTCTCAGATCCTATACTCTACCGATCAAGTCATTTTACCACCTGACCCTGCAAAATATCTACCCATGTGATTAGATCGAGAAAGTTTCAATAGATGTGGTGGCTTTAATAGATATCTCGTCCTGTAAATTAGAGCAGTCAATGCTGAAAAATCTGAGAAGCACTGTACAGCTTTTTTATTTCTAATGGGAATCATTAGCATTGAGCGTCTCGTAAAACTCCGGAGAGTTTTGACCCCATGGCCAGCTGCTTGAATGATTAACTGCTCGGTCGCGGGCTAACCACCAGTGTGATAAGTTGGCACTTAGGTGCAGTTTAGAACGAAGTGGACAGGAGTTTTCGTTATGAGAGGACTTTCTAATACTATATTAGTGTTAGTCCCCCGTGTTCGTAAATTACATTCATACGAGGTTCGTGGGGCTAACCTTGATCTCGTGCCAAAGTTTTTTAAACATAATCGCGTGTGACGGACGCCCTGTGTCTGAGTTGCGGGTTCTCTTCAGGAGAACTGGAAACTTCCTGTTTCCCCCTTACTTGTTCGACTATGCCTGTGCGCTTCCACCTCATAGTTTCCTCCACATCTTAGAAATGGTCCATCACGATTTACCAGATTGATAACGGTACGTAATTTTCTCTCCTTTTTGTTTCCTGCGGTGCAGTTTCCTGTTTATACTGATCACCATTTTCGGTTGGCGATCAGGCTTGCCGAAAAAATATCATAGATCTAAAGGAAGGTGAGAAGGAAATTATTGTTGCACGCCTTAAGCACACCAAAAATGCAGCTACTCTATTCATGGTGTAGCATATTTTGAAAACGAAAATTAGAACCTCTGAACTTACTTCCAAAAGCAGGGTAAACATTGACAAGATGATTACGTTTAAGTTCAGTTTCAAGTACGACAAATTTAAGAAGGTCTCAGGGTGAATTCTCGACTTCTAAGAGTTCTCAACCGTAGTTCTCCAAAGTACTGACCAAGTACACCTGGTGTGTAGGTCCTGAACACACTCGGATAAAAAAACGCCATCTGCAATTTCTTGTCTCTAAAATGTTTCAGCTCTTTGCTTAATTCGTGTTGCTTGTCACGTCGAAGCTCTCTTTTGGCCTCTAGGGAGAATGCCATCACTATGTGTTCCAATAACATAACAGTCATATAAAATACCTGGGCAAGTTCGGAGGCCTAGGGGAACG